TCGAAACGTTGTACATTTGCTGTTATGTTAAACTTATATTAAAGTTTTTCTTCATTACCCATTCAAGCCGTCTCCAACCATTATTAACCTTAACGATGTCATTAAAGAAGGGATCTTGGTGCAATAAATGATCGGTCTCTTAAGCCGTCCAAGCAGTATGCTATTGCTAGTGGTAGGACAAATAGAAATTTAGGTTGTATCTACAGAAATATTGAATATAAGTCTAAATAAGTTATAATTTCATTGTGTATGTCACTGGTTTAGCCACATTTTTGGAGTATTGTCTTGGGCTCCTTGCCTTAGAAAGGGCACTGAAATGTTGGAAAGGGTTCAGAGAAGGATAACTAGAATGGTGCCTGAGATGGAGGACTTGTCAAACGAGGAGAGGTTGAGATCTCTCAAATTATTTTCTCTTGAAAAAAAGAAGAGTTATAGGGGATCTGATTGAGGTGTTTAAGACTGTAAAGGGAATTGATAGTGTTGATGCATCATATTTTTTCATATATTCAACAGTGAGAATAGTAGGATTATGGGACACAAATATAATATTGAAAGGGTAGGAACTATTTTCAACTAGGACAGTTTTATTTTTCTAACAGGATGGTTGGCCTTCGAAATGGGTTGCCTTCGGATGTTGTGGAGACAGTAAATTTAAGTTTAAAAAGCTTGATAACTATATGAATAATAAAGACTGGTTGTAAGATTTTTTAAAATGTAGTTATTTAATAGTTTTGGTTTAGTTTAGAGGATGGGACAGCCAAGATGGACCAATAACTGAATAAGTCTCTTGTTGTTCCAAAACATTATGTTATATTATGATACTAAAAATGTCTAACTAACTTGACTTGGATTTTGTCTACACTACAGAATGCGATTGTTTCCAACCCGGTGTCTAATCTCTTTTTTTTGTGTAAGTAATGAATCAGAGGTAGAGAAAATCCAGACACTGCTCTGTGGTACGTTATCTGACGAATTCTCCTGTTTTTGCGGTTCTTGCAGACTACTCTGAGGAAAATAAGAGCAAACTGAAGGTGCCACAATAGTCAATGCAAAGAACTGACCAAAACATCTGGATGAAATATTTTATACGGATCTGGCATGGTCTGGTAGTTAGGGTGCTCTAATCAAAGTCTGTGGGATGGTAACTCAGTGCCGATCATACCTGCCCTTTCAGCCACGGGGGCGTTGAAATATGACGATCAATCTCGCTAATCGATGGTAAAAAGGTAGCCTAAGAGTTGCCAGTGGGTGTTGCCAGCCGATAGTCTTCTCTCTGGTTGGTAATTCAAAATTAGGGAAGGCAGCAGATAGTCTCATTAGCTTGCCATAAACAAAACAAGAAACATCTCCTAAGTATTATCCAGAGAAAACCCCGGCATTGGTCAAAGGGGATAATTACAGTAGTGTAAATGTGTGACTCACGTGTTATTAGGATTCCCGTAATTAACAACATTCCTTAAAATCCATAAGAGACTAGATAAAGCAGGCAGTGTAAAAAATATAATAAGTCTAATGTCAATGTCTAATACAAGTATAATTATAATCATGCTTCGTCATCTTGAAAAAGGCGTTCACACCATAACAATTGTTGTTTTTACGAATGACTTATACAAATAGTATTCTAACAATTACTATGTTTTTGTGTCCCAGCCAATCTGATGAACTGTGGATTAAACAAAACGAAACTAGTCGTCGGCAATTGATATGGAGAACATAATGTGGTTGTAATACTCTTATCATACACTCTTCTAACTCTTGAAAATCCGTAAGGGACTAGATAAAAAAGCAGTGGTAAATTATGATAGGCCTAATACAAATATATTTTGAGAAGTATAATTAATTTAGGAAAATAACTAAAAGCCCATCGATAATTCCAAGTTTAAGCTCACTTTGCGTAAAATAATATTTTGAATATTAGAGATTTTTAGTTAGAAAAACAAAGAAGTTGTCTTAATATTTTTCTATGTTGTTCGTTGTGTCTTGGGTTCACTTGTGAACTATATTTTTCATTAAAACATGTCGCCTATTATTATTTAATTTTTAAAACGCAACCTAGTGGTAAACTTTAACTAAGATTCGTAGACGGTGTGATAAGGGTTTGAGAGTATCGTTCTTTCTCTTCTTCTCATAGTCATCATGAAGGTGAGGTGTAAGTTTCTCCTGTTAGAAATATCGAATTTAATCTTGGTTTATCTGTGGAACATTTACGTTATAATAATCAAATTTATTTTCTAAGAGCGTTATTTTTTTAGTACAATATATATTTCATTATTTTATTACGTAAATTCTGAGTTTTTTTACAATTTTGTGTGATCCAAAGCTAGAGACGTGCATTGTTATTCCTAGACCTAAGCCTACTTTAGTAGGATCGTTAATCATGGATAATTCCAGTTTTAATGAAAACGTGTTTACTTAATATGTCGTGTGTAGTAATTTTTAATTTCATGTTTTTAAAGTTATTTTTTTTATTCTTCACGTAGGTAATTTATAATTTTGTTCGAAATCATTCACTTAACTTGCTTGTAAGGTTAGGCCTAAAGTTTATAAGTTCGAGTTTACTTTATAAGGTTTAGTGTCGTAACTAGCTAAATTTTTTTAAGAAGCATTCACCATGTTCAATTTTTTTGTATTCAGTATGGCACTGGCATATTTCTCCACTCTTCAAAAACGTTTTCAAAGAAGTATGATTCTTGATATATACTATAATTTAGTATAACTCGATAGGCATGGAGTTGCAATAAATGCACGTTATTGGTCACAAAACGTGTACTAATAGCAATACTATAAGATCCGCGGTTGTAAAACTTGATCTACTATATATATATAAATTATCACTTATGTTGCATCAAACCGTAAACGAAAAATGATAGTTTTCAGAGCTTTTTCATATTAAATTTTCTACGTTTATTTCCTTGTCTTCTGTTTGCTACTAGTCATTAATTAATGGTAATTATATGACATTCCTCGAACTTGATTGACGTTCTGCAGAATTACAAATTACGGGAAGTTCTCTATCTCAAACAGCATTAGGTTGAAAGTACTTGGTCAATCAAATTTGACTGCATGTCAAATGAAAGCTCAGTTTGTCTTCATTATTCTGAATGGTGTAGTTAATATTTTAATATATGAAATCATATACATTTCAAGTAACTTAATATTTATCAACCTTTCATTTCAAACAGTATTAAACTTTGCAACCTGTATTGTATAATCCATAAGCTATTTTACGTTAGCTTCATTCCTTCATCTGACAACAGGACAGATTCATTAGAACTACCTTGGCTTGGCATCACTGCACTTTGTAGGCTTATGCCACTATCAGTTATACATACAATATAGCATAAGACGTATAGTAGTACGAAGAATATTTTGTATAAAAACCAAATTAGGATGTTCTTTACTTCCTTAGCTCTTCTAGAACAATAGATGTATATAAGGTAGTTTGCAACTATGTCAATCATAGGAGTTATGTTTTAAAGCTAATAAAAGGACACATTCATTTCTTTGTGGTTTTTGATATAATGAAAAACCATTTCAATGATAATAAACTTGCGTTGTTTTAAATTCAAGTTATAATTAAGTTCTATTTGCATAGTTAGTCTCATCTTTACACTAAGCTTTGTCATAAACCATTGATTTCTATATTAGCTTGAGGTGTTATCTATTTAGAATTTGTCTAAGGAACTGTGGAAAAATACTATTTGTACCTTACAGTTAAGAAGTGCAATAAATGGTATATTGTTATATATACCCCACTTTGCTGCATTATGAGTTCCATTTTTACTGAATAAATATACTGATATTGGGAGACTAGATGTAAATCATGTTTCAGATCCTGAAAAATACTAGTGGGAAATATAGTGTACATTAGCCTTGAAATTGTTAATAAAAAAATTAGGGAGTTTTAAAACAAGGTTCGCCCACCAGTGGCACAGCGGTATGTCTGCGGACTTACAACGCTAGAATCCGAGTTTCGATACCCTTGGTGGGCAGAGCACAGATAGCCCATTGTGTAGCTTTGTGCTTAATTATAAAAAAAAAACAACAATGTTCCTTGGCAAGATGTTTTTTCAGAGTATTAAGATAAGTTAAGGATTGCATGACTAAACTACTTAAGAAAATCAAAAATATTTGTAGTTAATAATGGGCATGTTCCAGTAGATTGTTACACATTCAAATTTTTAAAGGTGATATGCATTGTCCAGGTTATTATAGGGTAGTTAGTCTTAATTTCTGTTATGGTAAAGGTTTTGATGAGACTGACTAAAGTTGTAATGCCGCTGTAATCGGGGTTCAACAACAAAACCACAATTTATTCACAATAACAACACTTAGAAATAACTTCAACACAGTTAATAAACAAATGCCTGGCCAGGACTTCGCACCAGTGTTAATAATTAATTTATCGTAAATTTACATACTCTTCTGCTACATTAATAGTATCTGTAGGTCACTGCTAGGGAAGCTGGTATCAGTTTCATCATACATACTCAAAATATAAGTGATTATGTAAAAGTTAAGTTAGCATTTTAATAAAACTAAATACAGCCATAATCATAAAAAAAATAGAATTTGCTTTCTCGGAACCTAACAAAGTTTACAATTTTGTTGGACAACCAGAATGTTTTCACATGGGGAAAATCTTGTCTCGCAAATCTTTTGAGCATCAAAGATGTCACTGCTTATGTTGGTGAGGGTAAAGGTGTAGATCTGATATACAGGATTTTCAGATGGCTTTCAAAAAAGTACCACAAGATAACTAAAGAATTTTCACTGGATGTAAGGGCAGTTAGTCTACAGGATTAATAATGGGCAGAGGAGCATAAGCAGAACATTGTAATAAAACAGACTAGATTGTAATGTGTATTTATACTGATTACAAGTAAATGTAAGGTCTTGTATGAAAAAACTGTGGCTTTGGTTTCTGTATCTGGGAAGGAATAGATTTAATTGGAGAAGTTGACAAGAGGGCTACTAGCATGATATAGGAAATGAAAGGGTTATCTTATGAAGATCAGTTAAGATGTCTAATTTAATTTTGAACAATATTGTTTCGCATGCCTATGCAAAAAGTCTCATGAGCTGTCAGTGAAATTTTTACTACAGTTTCACCAGAGTAAAGGTGGACCATTTTTAGTTTTTTTAGTCATTCATATTACAGATGGTTGATTTAGAGCAGCAAACATGTAGGGCAAAAGCATATACATAAGTATTGGTCAGGTCAAGCAAACTAGATTAGCAGTTTATATCTCAGGTTTTCAAAAGAATTATATGAGTGGATGGTTATTATTTGTTATTCATTACAAACTTTTAAGCAGAAATTTACTAAACTCTGAAATTCTATTAAAGTGCATTTAAGATCACGTTATAAGTTGAGCCACAAGTTTTGATTTCAATTCTTTTTGGGTTGCCTTTTTTTCACACCTAGTGTGTTTTTGATTACATTTTAATAACAGCAACTATTTGCTAGAAATAGGAGAAACCAAATTTAGAAGTATATTATATTAAGGGAATGCTCTTCTGTAAATGATTAATAATTTTCTGTATAAACTTAAATTTATAATCTAAGGTGTGAACATGCTTGAGTTTTGAGAAAGCATAGTGCTAAACAGTTGTAGATTTACCAGTATGTTTTTTTTTTTACATTGGAATCCTCTGTCTCTGAATTTTGTAGAACATCTTGTTTTTAATAATTTTTGTAGTTTTTGTTGGTTTACAAATTAACTATGGCATAAATGGGCAAGGTATGATGTGTGGTCCTCATTTCCTTGTATGTCAGTAGATATTATGCCTATAAGAAAAACTCTCTTGCAACCCACACCTACTAATGATACTAGGTGTGTTACTAATTGAGAGTAACATGGTTAACTGAAAAAAAAAAACATTTCCCCAGTTTCAGTAGTTTTCATTATTCATCAAATATGGGGAATTAATACAAAATTTCAATTGTTTTCAAAATTCTTTGTACGTCAAACATTTTAAATTTAAGCTAACAGTGTTAAGTGAAGAAAGTAAATATAATTGACATACATATTACCCTATTTCGAAGGTACAAATTCATAAATTAAATGGAGTGATTTTTATAGGTTATTTTACTAGATTTCATTTGTGTTAATAAGTAATCAGATTGATTTCTCAACTGTAATAGTTAAAAAGTGAATCCCAGGGATCTTGTGTTAGGCTTTACCTAGTCCTTCCTGTGGCCACTAGCAATTGATGTACGAGACAACTCGTTCACTCTTTCAGCACGGCTCAGTCCCTGGGACTGACATCATAATAATTTTGTGCTAAGTCATTACACACTGAGTAATTTTCATTTTAAGATTAAGAATACTTTTATGCATCAAAAAATTTTCACATGCAAAATCTATAATGTCCATATATTATAATTATCAAATTTTTCTTTAAAACTTTTATCTGTTATTTTCAGTAATTAATCTCTACAGGTTTGATAGTTTTAATTGATTTTGCAACCACCATAAAAAATTAGGAAATGAATTATGCCTATTTCATTCTAGAATGAACACAGATTATAACATATGTTTAGACGAAATAGTGTAAATCTCGTAATGTTATACATTTATATTTATTTATTTTTGTAACTGACCTCTAGTCTTTACAAAGTGATCTGTCTTGGCTGTGTTTTAGCATACTTGTATTTTGTGAAATAGTCACATTTCAATTATTATATTTATATATAGATTATTGCTATTTAGGGGTAAGTTCTTAAACTTATTTTTTTTAAAAACATAGAACAGTAAATAAATAAGTAAAGCAAACGATTATCTGTTCTAGTTATGACCTTTGTACTCGGTTGCTGCTTGATGTAGGTATCTAAACCTTTTAAAATTTTACATGTGGAGGATATGAAACAATAATTGTTAATTTTATATGTACATTTCAATAACCAATAATCGTAAATTACTACATCAATACCATAGAATTCAACTAAATTTATCAAGCTTAGTAACTAAGCTGTATTTCAGTTTAAAAAATATGAAATTTTGAGCTGACGAATAACAACCTACCTCCTTGAAATCTTGGTTTGAAAGATAGAAATGGCATCCAAACACATTAACATGGCTGAGAAAGCCACTAGGGGACATTCTGAGTTCCCGATTGGTTATTCATGTTATATATAGAAGTGTATATAATGGGGCATTTCCAAAAATGGAAGGAGGTGGGCAGGATGCCACTGTTTGATTTATTATTCTAATTTGTCAGTATCAGTAATTTGAGTTACTAATTAGTACAAGACTATAGACTCAGTATTTTTGTCATCACAAACATCTAATTTGAACCAGTGCTGCATTTCAACATACCATGTGACACAAAAATTGATGTTTAGCTGTATTGTAAACACCTTGATTTCACAGAATAGTTTGCATTCATTGCTTTTCACTCAATACAGTAAGTTTGAAATACTGCCAAAAATGTATGAATATTCTAACAACCTGTTTAATTTAAAACTAGGAAAAAGAAAAGGGGAAAGAAAAACGTGAGAATCCCATGAAGGAGGTTCGAATTCGAAAACTTTGTCTTAATATTTGTGTTGGAGAATCTGGTGACAGACTTACTCGAGCAGCCAAGGTGAGAATGATTTAGTACTTCTTAGTGTGTGTAGTGATCCTTAACATGTTACCCACACTTTGTCAGTTCCCCATTAAGCTTTTAGCTAGAGGAATTTAAATTTTCCTACCTTTATAGATACATGTATTTATCAGTGCAGTTTTTTTAGTTTTGGAAAACATTTTTTAACATAAGGAGATTGGGAAACCATCACAGTAATAGAGATCACCATTTGCCAGTTTTCTCTGCAAATATATATATATATATCATTTCAGACAGGGTAAGGAAAAATGATTAACTTAGTGTATTACCACATATAAACTTTTCAATAAATTTATTGTGTTAGAAACTATTCAATACATTTTGTACCACTGATGTATAAAAAAAAAAATTTCTTCAATTTAACTTTGGGTTAAATTGAGTGTAAATTATATTTGGGCAAATATGGTAATGTGCACATTGTACAGTGGTTTTTCTCTCTGCCAACAGTCATGTGGTGAGCAAAAAATATGCCCGCATTGATATTTTGGGTGTTTTTCACCATCAAACAATTCAGACAGAACGTTACTTTGGACATCAAAATGTTAATCATGAGTTTAGAATTTATTTAATTTTTATGTGATAATCAGTTTAAAATTGTCTCTTTAAGGTGTTGGAACAGTTGACTGGTCAACAACCTGTTTTTTCGAAAGCTCGTTATACAGTGAGATCCTTTGGTATTCGTAGGAATGAAAAAATTGCTGTGCACTGTACTGTCCGTGGGCCTAAAGCTGAGGAGATCTTAGAGAAGGGCCTCAAGGTATGAAAAAAAATCATTTTATAAAATTGTTATTCAATGGGTATTCACATAATTTCTTGCTGGTAAACACGGAATTAACAGTGGAAAGGTAAATATGCATGTACCCATTTCATTAACATGTACATTTACCAGCATCATGCAAATAATAAGCTAGTAGTTTAACAGTAAAATAGGTTGAAGCTTTTTGATTTTTAGCAGTTTTGGTCAGAATGTGTAAAAATCATATGAAATAGTAAGACAACAATGAAAACAGAAATCTAAGTAGAAGACCTTGTTGCTGCAAGTCTATTTTAAATGTACATTAATGCTTTTGCTATAGACATCTTTTTTCAATGAATTTTACAAAGTGTTAGTGAGTTACATTGAAAATTTAATTATAGTACTTCATTATCATAGTATTATTAGATGTAGTAGTACTTAGTAGTAGGGATTGCCAAGGTTTCCAAATAATTCATGTGCTGAAAAACAGACCATTCATAATATTGGTTATGAGATACTGTGTGCATAAATACTAATAATATGCTAAAAAGATTGATAATATTTCTGGTATAACAATTCAAAAATTTCTAAAGCATCTTCTACCTACCTATTCACGGTAGCAAGCATAGCCCCTACACAGCTCACTGTTGCTACAAGATTTCTCTAGCTAACTTGACTGGTCTGTGGGTATGTGCTTTTGATATTCGGATTAAAATATGTATGTGTGTATATATATAACTAAAACTGAGATTGTTTGTTTGCTTGTCTGTAATTAAATACAGACAAAAACGGCACACAATAGCACCATATTTGTAATGAAATAAGACTCAAAACAGAATAATACAAGTTTCGTT